TGCATTTAGCGCTAAAACTATAGCACCACTGAGAGACAATCTTAGAAATTATGACAGCTAATCTCCACACAATTGTCTTTGGGCAAAAAAAACCAGGCGCACACTGAGATTGAGCACAAAGACAACATAATGTGGGAAATTTGACAGAGGTGTTTCATTGTGGACGATTCAATTTTCACAGCAGGGCCTAAATGAAACATACATATAGTAAATGCAAAACAGCAGGATAGGAATTTCGCGATAAAGACTTTAGATTTTAGCTTCCTCATTTGGACCTGTGTCAAACTGTAATTTGCCTTTGAAACAAGTCGGCTTAATTTAAAGTGCCGCATATAAAGGGATGATGGGTTTGCGAGCACACTACACTTTTCACTTTAAACATCCATCTCAGCTTCAAATGATGACCTTAAATGTATAAAATAAGCACTGGCGGGTTTGCATAATAGTCGCCACACCAGGTATCTATTCACCTTGACAAGTCCAGGGCCGCGCCGCAATGTCAACACACGCACTTTGCTGTTTGCCTCCACTATGTCCTGCTGGGGGCTTCAGAGGGAGGTCACCAAATTGTCTCTGGAATAAAAAAAGAAAAAAAGAAATAGGCACTGACCTTCTGCTAAATTGGCCACATTGAGTTGAATATCAGGTTATTGAGTTGGTCCATGCTGCGTTTCCTCGCCTGGAAGATAAAAAGAGATATCTGCCATTGTCTGTTTGATCAAGGACAAGAATGCGTAAGGAATGCAGAAAGCTGGAGCACTTTTTGAAGGAGCATTTTCAAATGGTTTCGAGAGAAAAACATGATTAGCGGCTGTAAACAAAATGTTGAGTAAGACCGATAAGTGTTTTTTGCTTACAGTCTCAAAGCGATTAAATAAAAGGCAGTCCAAACATATTGTAAATGAATGTGAAATGCCAACAACTCATTCATGGCACTGTACTTTCAAGTTGTTGATTCTCAGAGAAAGGCAAATAATAGTCATTTTCCAAAATTACAGTCCTATCCTCCTTCGAAACGAAAACAGTTAAAATTGGGCTGAAGACTAAGCAGCAGCAGTATTTTGTATATTTATTCGGGATAGTATAATGTAATAAGTAATTTCCACCAACAGTTCACATTACCTCCCAATGCTTAAGAACCATAATCCCTATTGCATTTGAATCCCAGCACACATACGGCCGGATGTTATTGCATGATTATAGGGCAGCTCTCCCTCCATGTAGTTATCGTATTTATGCATTTTGCACATGAATTGGAAAAATAAGTTTGAGGAAGAAGCCAGTCCAATTACACCATTCAGCTGGAGTGGGATAAGCCAAAGCCGTCTGTTGTAATGAAAAGAGCCAACATTTGAATAATACCTTTCTGCCAGCAAGTACAATTGTGTGCCACAAAAAGTGTAGCGATAAAAATAATCAAAATAATAATTTTAGACAATTAGTCCAGAACACACATTTATGAAGACTTTCTATTCAGATCTTCACAATAGGATGTATCTGGTTTATTTCCATGTAACTGGTTCCTGACATGGGGGAACCTAACTGTCAATACATGAAACCAATTTCAGTGCTCACTGTTCAGTCTATGAACATTTAAAAGAGCACTTTTAAATGTCCAGTCTTCCCCCTGCTCTGGTCATGGATAAGATTTTTTTTTGCGTAATTGGACCTTTTAATAAATAAGTCATTGTTGTAAGAATGCACATAGTGAATGTACAACTCAATGCTAGATCAAACCTAAACATGTGTATTCTACAACAACATTACGCAGATGAGGCGCATGTGTTGGAGAAAATACCAAAATATAATACCATTTGTTTTATTGCATTTCAACGGCTGTAAAGTGCCAAACTATCATTGTGTTTTTAAGACACAGGCAAGACACTCCACTCACTAGAATGTGTCAGAAATGTAGTACGGTGAATGGTGGCCGGAGGGGCCAGTCTTCCACCTGCTCTGGTCATAGAGACAGGTTTTTGCTTGGCAAAAAAAAATAAAAAATGTGAGCTGTTCCTGCCTAACTAATCAGTATTTCTGGGACAATTCACATAAAACATAACTGTCCCAAAGATACACTTTGTCAGGACATATCAACTATGATCTAATTTCAGGTGTGTTGTTGCAATTTTAATTTTTTCAATTTCTAAATATTTTGCATGATATTGATAGTAAAAAGGACTTTGAAACATACAAATAATATGGCGGCTTTGTGAATCTAATCACTATCAAATAAGCATCTAGGAAAACATTTGGACATTTCTTTCAAAATTAGCTTCTTTCCCAAAGTTACATTGGCCCCTTCCAACTGAACATGAACCAACCAATACAATATTTTAATTAACCACATTTTACTAATACTACACAGGTAAAGGCAAAGAAGTTTACTCAGAAGTCAACTTTATCCGACATAGAAGCCAGGGCCAGTTTGTGAAAGTTTGCTTCAGCTTGTGGTCATGGTAAATTTGTGCCCCTGGACACGCTCACCTGCCTCCTGATGTGTCCTCTCTCCTTGAAGCACCGGGAGCTGGTGTCCACTTATGGAGCTTTTATCAGCCCGCCAGGGCATCACGCCTGAGGAGAGAGCATGACACCTCCTCAGGCAGGTCAGAGGGCCATGAATAAGACCATTGTCCTATTCTCTCTGTGTACTCCTCCTATAGGACAAGCGTTTGCATTGAAATTCACCAATACTACTTAAAAAAAAAAAACATTCATACTTCTGGGAAAAAGAAAAAAAACAAAGGCGCAGAGGTCTGGTTCTTGTGGGTTTCATTCCTGGAGGGAAGCAAAGATTATTACAATATTCAGATTACCGAGCAGGGGAAATTAATTGTGCTAATTAACATACAAGTAAATGATGATACCGTTAACACATTTCATTAACTCGAACTGTCATTCTATGTTCCTGCTGCTCTTGGTACTGCATTACAATGAACAGGACTCATTAAATTATGCAAATGAAAAGGAAACCACGAAACGGACTCAATCTTTTTTCAATCGTTTTCTACAAATTGACTAAGAGTTTAAAAGCATGTGCTCATGGCCAGATTTACGAGATAAAGCTTTCCAGAGACTGGAGTTTCAATTATGTTCACAGGCTCCCTCACATTGGTCATAACACTCAAAATAAGAGTGACTTGGTTTATTTCAAAATTCCCTGATGATTTTAGTTCAAATGAGATCCGTGCGATAGTATTTGGCAAGAAAAATAGTAAAATAGGCATAAAAAAATCAATTATTTGAGTTAACGTTGCAAGTTAAGGCTTGACTTATATCGTGCTATTGTTAATAGGAAATAATAGAAAGTCTAAAAAAGCTTAGAGCTCATCGCCTTCACTCGGTAAAGGATGATATGTGTTACTAATATCATTGTAAAAGATTGCTATTCTAACTGTGCTAGCGTTAATTCAAAGACGGGACCATGTAACTTTTAGCATTTTTAGACGCTGGATCATGGGTCATATATAATGTCGGCGCTGGATGGACATTGACCATGGATCTCTACCATTGACGAACATTGAGGGAAAAATAGTATCTGGATTGCCAAAGAAGTAAAGAAGTGAACTCACAAGAACTTTCACTTACAGGAGTAGAAAAGGACAGTGGAGCAGCGGTTTCACATGGTTGGTTTCTGCATACGTGAAAAGCAGGAAAAATAATTCACTCATCTTTTTGTTTTTTTCTGAGGACAAAAAAGCTTATTTGTCTGACAATTCTTGGCAGTCAACCGGGTTATGATTTTTATATAATTATATATATATATATATATAAAGAAAGACAAGTTTAGCAATTTTATGTTAGGATGGATATTTATACAAAAAGTTATGGGCGTGAGGGTGGGAATTCCCATGTTAAATACATTTTAGCACGTGGTGATTTATAACCTCATAACACGTCAAAGTGAAGAGAAAACAATCATATAATCGTTTATAATGTCATATAATGTGGCATCACCAGCGAATCCAAAGTGAAATTTAGACTTATCAGTGTTCAGTTATCTTAAAAACAAATACAAATGGCAAATGCATAATTAAACAAAACACAAAATAAACATATCATATAGAGAATACCCATCTTTGGACTATGGTGTAAAGAAAAAAGAAGAAGAGTCATTTATAAAAGAGTATAATGTGGAGGGATGAGACTGAAAGAGTGCAGGTGAAAACCTCTGCTCAGCTTTAAGTCCCAGTCTTTTCATGTCACCCACAAGACTCTGAGACAAGTTTGTCAACAAGCACAACTTATCCTGAGTTTGGAATCCAATTTGGCAATAACCTTCATTGTATGGCTTTTATAGTAAAATGCATGGTTTCATTTTTAAATCCCAAAAAGGTTCATACAAAACTCTGATTATATAGAATGAACAAGTAAGGCTTTCTGTATCACAACCATGGTTGTATTATATTAGATCACAACTCAATTATGAAAAGCCTTATAAATAGTAGATAATAGCACAAAAGTGTATAAGAAAATTATGTAAATTATAAGAGTATCCCATAAGCAACTTACACAATGTTGATTGTTTGATTTGTATCTGCAAAATACATTTTAAAAGAACATAAAAAATTTAACGCACAGGGAGTGCAGAGGATGCATATAATGCATAACAAAGTTAAGTTGTGAGGACGTGAAACAAATGCATTATTAACGGGATAAAATAAGCAGTCAAAAAAAGCCTCAGGAGGAACATGGCAACCAAGGACATTACAAGATTGTATCATTTACAAAAAAAAGTTGTTTAACTTGAAATTAATTTGTGAAAACACATCTGATAAGATACAAAAGAAATCGGTTCCTACATTTAGACTACACAGTATTGTACAAAATAAGGCATTTCCTTGTGTTTACTGCAATGTTTTCTCTGCATGTTTCCTCTCAGTGACGACTGAGGATGGACACTAAGTCCCTACTTTGAGTTAAAATATATATTTATATATGTAGATTTTGAGTTCTTCAAAGCATGGATAAAAATGTATAGAGCAAGTCTGTAGGAGTGTAAATCACTCCATGACCTCAGCAGCTGCCACCGTGGTGACGAGCTGGAGCGGGATCTCTGCGTTGGCCAGGATGTCCTGGGCGGCACTGGATCCCTGCTGGATGTTGGTGAGGATGAGGGTGGTGCCACCTGCTGTGGTGATGATACTGTCTGAGGAACCCGCAGACTCCATCGAGGCCACGATCGCACTGCCAGAGTTCACACCTTTCTTATTCGAGTGAGTTTTAATGTGCTTGGCCAGGTGGTCGCTCCGCATGAAACGCTTGGAACATTCCGGACAGACAAACTTCTTTTCTCCTGTCACACACAAAACACAGACCAAAAAGTTAAGCATCAAATAAGGATTACAGTCAAGGATGAAGCTTTTAGATGTATGAGACACACATAGTCCTCTGTGCACTACACGAGCAGCCTGATTGCTAAAAAAAAAACCTTATATGTTTATTTGGCAATAGATGCAAAACAAACATAAAACATCCCACTGTATGATGAGAAAGGTTATCTAATTTAAATCCTCCCAATTGTTGAAATGTACAGATGAACGGATGTCATGTGTCTGTAATTTTTCAAATTATGATTTGGAATTTAACACACATTGAATCCTTACAGGGGCTGATGCTACGAGGATTGTGTGGCAGCTGTTTGCCACCCCCAGACCCAGAAATGGAATAATAAAGGCGAAGATAATGAATGAAATAATGATTCCTTACAAAAACAGATATGATTGAAGGATAGAAATGGTAAAAACAGAAGTTAAAAGGAGCTATACCCGTTTCTCCAAGGTTTGAATGTTTAGCACTGCCCCTCAACTCGCTCACAGGCTTCTCATTTCCCCTACGCTCTCATCCCGCGAAGCGATCTAGTTTTATTTGCGATCTGATACGTATGTTAACATTAGCATGAGCGCAACTTATTGTAAGCTGTACAAAAAGACACAGATGAAATGGTACAAAAGCAACGCACTGCTTACAAAATATATAACTGAAAGATCACCGCTAGTTTCACGTCCGAATGTGGTCCGAGCAGAGATAGTCTGAGACGGTCCCACACCCGCAGGTCTGTCCCACAGACCGTAATCTCTCCAGAGGGTACGATGTAAGCTAGCTATGTTCACCCGGGCTTGATTTCTTCTTTGATCATTTTTTTGCTTTAGTTCCCTCTTCTCTTCCTCTCTGTTGTGTCGTTTGGGCTGTTATGCTCTGTATACAGTTACAGCAAGAGGAGTTATAGCCAATTCTGCTAACATGCTCTAGACGCTAGAGGACGCGGCCTCTTCGCCCCTTGTTCTGTGAGTGGAGGAGAACGAGCGTCACGCTGTCTCTACTCAGCACTTTTTACGGCCTGAATTCATACACAAGCTGAATAAATGAGCTCAAGTTTCCAATGAAATTACGGATTATAATACAATTTGTATGTAGTAACAAGCAAAGCATTTTTATGAACTCAAAAAAAATATAAAAAGAATTGGGTATAGCTTCTTTAATCTTGTGTTTTGGGTAAATTTCTTGCAGGTAAATTTTTGTATGGGAACACATTCATCTCTTATTTGTAACAGTTAAGATTTTACAGGGAAGTAATTAACATGTTTCATGCTGTTGTTTTAAGTGCTGAGGGTAAAGGGGGCACCTGTGTGTGTCCTCCTGTGTCTTTGGAGCTCGTCGCTGCGTGTGAACCTCTTCCCACAGAACATCCAGCTGCAGACAAAAGGTCGCTCTCCAGAATGCCAGCGCAGGTGTGCACGCAGGTGGGATGTTTTCCCATACACTTTACCACAGCCCGCAATGTGGCAGATGTGCGTCTTCTTCTTGCCTGTGCCTGATCCCCTGACGAACACACATGGACAGAGAAGGTGTTAATTTCATTGACATGTGGCAAAAGCTTATTTTTCAAAACTGCAAAAGGAATGAGTATTATTGTAGTAGAAGGACTATGGCAATGTTAGTTAACGGCCGTGTCAATATACAAATGTTCTATCTCCAGCAGATTTTGATTCAAGATTTTCTATGAACCCCTAAATGTGAACAGTAGTTCAGCACAGGGACTGGAAGCACTGTGGCGGAGTGAGTAGCACTCATGCATCAAAACAAAAAAGTCATAGGTACAAATCCCTAGGCAATGATTTTCATCCTACATTTATATATTGAGGCCTGTCACTGTTCAGCATGTCCACACTTCAGGAGGTTAGAAACCTCGAGGATCCTCTTGCATCGCTTTCAGATTGCAGTTTACAAAGACAAATTGAAGAACGTTTAATTTTGTGTCGCTTTTTGAACCATGTTATTGATTGGACTTTTATTAAATTATTTTGGATAATTACTTTAACTTCAAACATGTTGAATACTATTTGACAACGTAATATGCAACGTGTGTTGCATATTCGATTTCTACTAAGTACATCATGACTGTCTCACACTGACACATTTGTTTTAGGGTAGATTATTAAATCACTTGGACCTGAAATTCTTAAATCATTGGGTCATCAAACAAAAACCATGGGGGAAGACTGGAGAAAATATGGTAAGATTTGAGCCTGATTGATTATGAAACAAACGTGAGGAAATCCAAATATGGACTCTGGAAGCAACGTAAACCGAGCAGCTTGCTTCATCTGATGGCAATTCAATTCAGATTTGTTGAAATCATTCTAATCCAGTGTTCCCCAGCCTTTCAGAGGCGTGGCACACCTTATTCATTGAAAACAATCACATGGCACAGAACCAGCTGAAACTCATACAAAAAACGACTGCAGCCTTTATTACCAATGTAAAGTTGTTCTCATTGTATTATATAGAAAATCAAACAAGCGTAACAAAATAGTATTTTAATTTTCTCGCATTGTTTTTTGTTCATTTTGGTGAGATATTGGATCATTTCCAAAGAAACAAATAACAACTCAAGGCACACTAACGTGCAGCAACACTGCTCTTAGCACTTCATTGAAGTCAATATTAAATCTCCTGCGCACACAGTGGTGGTCATTTAAAACTGTAGCCACAGCTGCCCAGGAGCAGACAGACGGAACTAAGGGAGCCAATCAGTGCCATCAACCCATCCGAAAAAATGTCATCCACTCACCATCCATACTATTGAAAAAGTTAAGATTACTAAATTAATTGAATTTTTCCTTTGAATAATCAATTACTCGTTTATAACGTGGGTCTGCATTTTTGTTTACATTGAAGCGAATCCACTGGAGGACATTTTACATTTCCAGGCAAAACTATTCTATAATCAAATTGAGTAATTTATGCATTTGTTTTATTTGTAATTACTACCTCGTTTGAATATTTCACAGCACTAACATGTGTTGGAGTCTGTAAATAGAGCAGTTAAAGTTGATTATTGAAATAACTGATTCAAAGTAAAAAGGAAAGGAAAGCCCCCTACTCCTACTCACATAGAACCATAGATTCATAGAAGACCAGTGCTGGAAAAATACATTCCATGAGAAATATGATCAAAAGCAAAAGTTAACTTTTAATCATAACCTAATAGAAAAGAAAAAAAACTATTATAATTTTAAAGGCCAAAATCTAAAAATACTTAGTACATGATGCATCTAAAGCAGTGTTGGTATAACCATCCAAAAAGGTTAGTCTGGAGCCTGGTTTAATCCTCGTGTAATTTCTACTCCAGGATGTGCTTCACCCCCACAGACAGTGCTGTTTGAGACAGTGTGCTTCACCTTCCCACAGAGTCTTTACAGTTGGGGCAGGTGCACGCCACTCTACGTAACCTCTTGCCCTCCTGTCCGAGCTGATCGTCCTCCTCTGCCATCCTGACGTGAAAATGTGACAGATCACTTGTGTTCAGGGTGGAGTCAGTACTCAACTGCCAGTCTCCTGTGTCTGGCTCTTCTTTTATCCTGATGTCTATAGAGGAAAAAGTATTAATAAGTCAGCGTTTACTCGAAGCGGTTGTGTGTATATGTGATATATATATATATATTAGCAATAATCTTATTTATTACCACATATATAATGTTAAAAATAATGAAAAACTTGGAGAAAAATATCTTGATCTTTACAGTATGCAGATTATATAATTATATCGTAAAGGGGTTAGTCTCAGAAGCATAGCTATAGTGTTATGACTGTTTCGTTAAGAGGTTTACTGTACCTCCAGGAATGTCGGCCTGTGAATCCTGCGTCACAGAGTTAACAGTAACTGTTTGCAGATTCGGGATAGTCACTTGATTGGACCCCAGGGAGAGTGTCTGGACTGGGGCCAGTGTTATCTGTTGTGGCGGTGTTGTTGGCAGCTGGAGATTCTGCAAATTCTGCACTCCCTGCACCTGAAATGTCTGCCACTGGATCTGGCCGGATGGTGTGACTGTTTGGGCCTGGATGATGAAGGTTCCTGGGTTGAGTAGTTGCACATTCTGCAGACCCTGTCCTCCACCCACAGACTGCACCGCCTGTCCGTTAGTGCTCTGCACAGGCAGCTGCTGCAGCTGGAGGATGGTCTGAGCAGACGACACCTGGGTGCTTTGCTCTGAATTTGTTTGGATGAAGCCTGACTGCAGAGTGTTGTTCGTATCCGAAGCCTCAGAAGACAAGGCTACCTCAGACAACAGATCTGACTGACAAGATGGATTGTGCAGCGTTGTGGAAGACGTTGGCACAAAAATCTCAGAATTTGTTGTGGTGTCATTCCCTGGTAGTGTCTGCGTCAGCTGGTCACCAGACTTTGACTGATCCTCCGAAGTATCCATTGGCTGACCAGCCATTATTAACTGGCCATCAGCTGTGATACCTGTTGCAATAGTCTGTGCACCGGACAGACAAAGTGAGTCCAAGTCCACACTGTTAATAGGAACAAAAGTAATATTTCCAGGCAGTCCCATAGGCACATTAGTAACAACCTGACCATGGCTGTTAAACGTGGAGCTACCAATAGAAACCCCCTGGATCGGCTGAACATTTCCAGTCTGTGATATGAGAGTCTGATTGTTGAGAATGTTTGTTGATGCCACACTGCCGTCAGGTAAAATCTGGATCTGACCCGAAGCATCTCCCTCGACACCAGAGGTGGAGAAGCTCAACTGTCCGTCTGCAGTCTGTATCTGAGGAATTACTTGATACTGAATGTTAGGCACAGAGTTGGTGGAGGTGTCAGTACCCGACGTCACAAAGATTGGCTGTGTATGAAGGTTTTGCAGAGGAAGTACAAACTGTCCATTTGATGTTATTATCCCTTGACTTTGGATCTGCATCATTGCAGATTCATCTGACCCAGTCAGCTCTGAAGATGGTGCATCTGTTGCCTGCAACACAATTGGAATGATGAGACCTCTGTAAATCACACTTATTGCACAATTATAAACCACCCCATAATGTTAAAATATGCGAAAAGTGAGCGTTCCATATTACCTGAAGCACATGAAATATAGGCAATACAAGAGAAAAATGAGAATGGGGGGCTGTGTAGATGATTAGAATCAAAGTAGTAAAACGTAAGGAGAGCATGTAAAATACCAACTACAGAAGAGGGGAGGGGCTTCACACAAAAACACTAAATACCTAAAAGAGTAAAAAGGCTGATTCACTGCAGCCCGTGGATAATAACGACATTTATTCATTATTCAGAGCTGTAAAAGCTACAACGATGAGCGGGAAGCCTTACCTGAGAGCTCGTGTTCTCCTGCTGTAAAAAGTCTCTCTGGCCGCTCTCCACGTCCATATCCGTAGGTTTTAAAGGCTGCTCTGGAGCTAGAGATGAAATATAACATGAGTGAACCGGGTTGTGCTACCATTAGCTAACTAAACAACGTTCACGTTTGAGTTTAGGAAAACCAATCATAGCAGCAGATTAAGCTAGCAACTTCCAGCTAACAATACAGATATACCTTCATCAAATGACTTGTTTGTCTAAACAGCACACTCCCTCGCAATATATGACGTTACCGCCACACATCAAAAACTACCAGCCAGAAGATTAAGTCCAATAAAACCTATGATTACACTTACAGGCGTAAGTAAAATTTCTCCGAGGCTAGCAATGCTAGGGATGATTAGCAATATCAACAAGAGGTAACTTAGCACTGGCTATGGCTGTAGTAGCGAGAGCTGCTAGCGAGCTAATTTAGCCTCAGGATGCCTGTCGCAGAGAGGGATAAGAGGAGACATACCAGTCATTGCACGACCTGTCGTAAAGCAGTCCTTGTAGTCACTCTTCTCTAGCCATGATCAGATTGTACCGATTGTACAAAAGTAGTGTCAGATTTATTATTTTGATTGACGGGCGGTAGGTAACACAAAGGGTGGGGCCTGTTGACCGGGAGTGCTTCCGTCACATACGGAAATGCCGTTGTCTTTTGCAAATGCGATTGGCTGGTTCTCTACTGCCCATCTAAACTCTTTAATATGGATTTAGTGAAAGTTTACTTTTATTAATTGAATTTGATATGGATTGTTTAATATTTAGTAGTAAATAGTAGTGGTCCATTTGGCCATGCTGCATTTGTATATTTTATTTCTTTGTTTATTTTGGTGGGATTGCGTGTATTAATGGATATCGGGATCTGTAAATACATCTGAATGTAGCTAAGTAGCTAATATCCATCTGTAGTCCAACAGTCACACTCATTCTCACCTATTGTACATGTTTTTATTGGTAGAGAAAACAGGAGTACCCAGAGGAAACCTACGCAGATAACATGTAAACTGGAATCGATCAGGATCTTCTTTCTGTGAAGTGTTATCCACTGTGCCGCCAAAATATTTATTTTTAAATTATTTAAATGGTATTATGTTTGATGCAGCCACAAGATTAGGGTATTAAACATTGTGTTGCAGTGTGGTGGATTTTAAAACTGTCTCTGATCATGAATCAGACTAATAAATAAACATTAGAATATTTGCATAATATATGTGATTGATACTTTTTATATTACTTATTTATTTAAAGGAGCAATGTGTAAAAATCTGCCCAATCTTGGTACTGCAACCTCTCCCACTCTCTCTGAGTCAGGTTGCCAGATATGCAAAAGAATCTAGCTGGGAACATAATATCTGAATAAACAAGAGTTTTGTCAACAACAAATCTATCTCCAACACCTTTTTTCACAAAGGCATCCCCGATAGAAATCCTTGTTATTTTCCTGTTTTGTCATTAATGATTTGAGAATCATAACAAGACCTTTTTAGTTCTGCGGCCACTTGCAGTCTATGGGCCACATGTAACTTTACCAGTGAAATTTCCTCGACACGGGGAGTTCTGGCAACCCGGATCACGGACTTTCTGATTGGTGGAACGGTAGACGCGGGACATCAAAATTAAAACAATAACAAGATTTAGGGGTCATAAAACTAATTTTTTAATTCAAATATCTCGGTTGAAGTACTGTTATCAGTTAAAGATGTATTTGGAAAGAGCATGATCTATTAATGCCTTTTGACAGATTAGGGCCATTTAATGATGACTTTACATGAAAATCTTACATAATGCTACTAACCCAACCCCATTGAGATGAATTATCTCTTTTTCGAGGGGCTTCTTCTTACACCTGTTATCATGTCTGCTTCACTGTTTAGTGGCATGACAACCAAAAAGCAAGTAGTAACAACAACAAAAAATGCAAGTAGTAAAAAAGTAGTATTTTATGTTCTTCCATTTGACTTGACCAAACCTGGGGCTGACCTGTTAAAACGTTTGAAATTAGCATTCCACCTCCATCTATATATATAACATTCAATATACACAATTAAATTATTTTTTAACAGATTACAACAAAAATAACAATAATATAGTGTGGAGAAGAATAAAGCTTATTCCTCATGCAAGTCAAAGGTGTATTCCCTTTGTTGTATGCGATTGTCCACATTAGAACATAGTGAAGCTGCATTGAAATGAGCAACTGCAAGCCATTGTGCCATACTCTGTGCTGGTGATGCTATCAGGAGTCCACTTCTGAGTATTATTTGTGGTGTGTCAGTTCCTCACAGTGCACGACCGCAGTGAGGCTATTTCTCTCAACCTTCAATTCAAACTTGGCCCATTACAGGCAGACTACAAAAGCACTTTCCGGGCACTCAGGAGCTCACGGCGGTGAATGGTGGATATTTCCAATCACTCTGCTGTCAATCCAAGTGTCAGGTAAACACAGGCCAATGGAAACAGCTTTAGAAAAAACTATTGCGCCTGTGTCTGTCTTGCTGCAGGAGTCATTGGACATATAAACCATTTTTGCAAAGACCTCCAAGTTAAAGGAAAAAGTCAAATATTCTAAAAGCAATGTTTGCAAAGACACCTATACAGCAGACATACCTCAGACTTCATGGACCCAGTGTTGGAGCTCTGCATTCACCTGCCCAATAATCTCTCTGTGGGACTGTTTCCCTGTGGGGGATTTAGAGCATAAGAGTTTTGTGTGCCTGGTGTTCTTAGAATACTTGAATGATTGCTTAGGTGACTTGTGCAACATATCGTATCACAGGAGAATGTAAATGCAGAAGGACATAGGTTTGCAATATTTTGTCAAACATAAACAGTTACTTTATATAGAATATGCTGCATTCATGTTATAGAATTATATTTAAATTGGAGGGCATGAGGGTGTCAGCACAACTCACATTGTGATGGTGATTCACAAACTCCAGATTATTCTTATGTCTGAAAGTCCCTGCTACTGGCTAACAACATGCATACATATTTTTTACTATTGGCGCCTTAATGAGAAAATAATTAGACATTGACACAACCTATTTAGAGCAATACATAATTTAACACAAGTTCGACACAAACTCCATATTATATCATAGTTTCATTGTTTTCAGACAATGAAACAACAGAACATAATTTTTCATTTTTTTTGAAAGGTTAGAAGAGGTCTGACATTGAATAAATCATAATTTCAAAATGTGTTCATTGACAATGGCTGATTTTAATGCACAATGATGGATTAAATGGTAGTGTAGCAGATGGAAATTAGCTACAAATCTACAATATGGTGTATTTACAGTTACTGTTCATTAATACGCACTGTCTCATACAAATAAACAAAACAAATGAATGAATAACTTTCTCCTTTGTTTTTTGTTATGTGGCTAACACAAATGTAGATATTGTGATGTGATACACACCAAGTATTCACAAAAGTTCTGCAAGAATGGTGTTTTACATTAACATACTCTGTTATTTCATTGTTGTCTGTCCAAAGAGTGTCGCACTGAGAAATGGAGTCCCGCTGCAGGCCCCATGTGGGACACTCAAATAGGAGCCGATTTCAAACTGTAAGTGCTTCAGGATCAGACTGTGGATGGAATAACAAACGTCAGACATGGACAAACCAGAACAGACATCCTGCTCTTTTTCTGAAAGAAAAGAGAAACAACAGTGCCATTAATGCCTAAAGACTATATTTAAGAAAAAATACAAACTGCTTGGACAAATTAACTAAAAAGAACAATTTTTTTAAAAACAATTATTAAACTTGATCAAATATGATTTATACGTGTTTACATATTGTCTAGTTCACCCTCCTTGTGGGCTGCAACCCCTCCCCGCCTGAGAGTTGCTTCAGTCCTGAACCTTCCTCAAGCGCTGCGTGGCCTTGGTCCTCGTTCTGTAGCTTAGGTCCTGGATCTATAGCCCATCCGTCTGTATGGAGCGGATCTCTCTCTCAATGTGGATCTCCCCGAGGTTTCTCACTTCACTCTTCTCCCACTGGGTTTTAGAGTTTTTCCTTGGTGATGCAGGAGGGTCTGTCTAGTGTCTAACAAGAAGGACTGTGGTGATGAACCAGGACACTTTAACATTCTTTAACATTTATGGACATTTATCAACATTCATGGACATCGGTCAACTCCATACGGCCTGGCATCAAACGAGGGGCCTCCATCTCCCAGAATTGTGAAATCCCTGAACACAGGATTCTACAGAGTTCCATAAGGCAATGTGCCACTTCGGTCTGTTTTGCACATCATGCTAATCGTACATCATGCTATGAGGAGTCATATACTGTACCTCCTGTGTAGAAATGTGCTGATAATCTGGCAAAGTACAAAAGATTATCCCAGTCAAAATCTTCCGGTAGATATGGAATATCGGTCCTCCATCTCAATTATTGAAGAACATAACGAGCATTGAAAAAATTACAAGAACAAAATCTTATTATTTTCTCATTAATGATAATGAAACTCATGAAATGATTTGGTGAAAATATATGCTGAAACAAGTATCAAGGATAAAGAACGCTCCAGGGCTGGCCTAACACTATACGACCACTATGAGCTGTAGAATTTGTTTTGTTTTTTTCCAAATTTGAAAATGACCAGCTGTAAACAGAGCAATGTGATTGCAAATAATGATATATCACTTGAGAAACTGTCAAAACAAATTAATGGATGATACTTTTGTTACATGGTCATATGTAATATTCACTCCTGTCTCAGTCCTGTATGATGTCATAGTTGTACAATGACATCATACAGGACTGAGACGGGAGCTTTCAGACAGAAGGGGCGGAGTTACATGTTTGTGCCAGAAGTTCCTGATCTTAGCGTGGATGGATCTATACACAACTCCAGATCTGTTTTTGAAAAGGAACAATGTTGTAACATGTTTAAATGCCCAAAAGAGTACATTATGCATAATATGTCTCCTTTAATTCACACTAACCACCTGTGAACTTTTGCAAAGGATGTGGCTATAAGGGGGCTCTTTTGAAGTAAAAGAAAGAAGATGAGCGCTGTAAATTAAACTGGCTTCAAATTACCGAAGGCCCCTGTCGCCAAACTAGAATTGATTTTGTGTTGGTCTTTTTTCGGTCTTTTTTCTTTATGACAATGTTTCATCTGGAGTTTAGGGCCTCATTGTTCACATCAACAGAGATTTTCACGGACCTTTTATGTGTCACAACTGCCTCTAATATTAACAATATCTCTAACTGATTAGTTCTACCAATCAAAGATACAAACAATCCACAAGGGGTCAGTAAAGAAACAGATGTCATGTGACCATCTGGAAAAGATCAATGTCTTATCAGTTATTCAAAAAGTATACAGAGGAAAGTAAAAGTACTTTACATTCTAATAATTGCATTTCATGAACAGCTTCATAGAAAAGAGAATTTTAATTAGTGATACACAGATCTAAATGTTTATGGTTTAATGTCAATACTTTGGCTTTCAATATATCCAAATGAACTGTTACCAATGAAGAAAAATGGCATTTTTACTCTTCAAATCATAGATGATACGACATGGGTCCAACTGTGTTTTTTTGTAATGGATAAATATAATACAGTTAATGCTCTCATTACATCCATTGAAATTCCCAATCAAGAACCAACAAGTAATCAGACATTCGTTACCATTATTGCACCCATGCACTACTAGTTGTAATGTATCAATCACCTGCAATGATATGGCTTAATGTAACAGTTTTACTCATAGTCAAATCTTGCACAGAAGCATTGTGTGTTGTCACCTGCTATGATTGAGAGACATTCCATTTGTCATGTAATAAATGCATCTTTATGAGATGCTTCAAGCTGTTTATGACACACTCACCACTAATATGGCTCAATACTGGTTATTAACTTTACTAAGGGAGCAGTAAATCAACATACTAATTCTGTCAAATAAGACACAAGAAAATCATTGCATACAAATGAAGGACTACTCTGGTCAAATCTCCATTCAGCTCAGGTCTATTGTGTTCACAGAGGCCCCACAATGACAATAATTACAACATGGCAATGGTTTATTGTCTTCTAAAAGAGATTCTTCCTGCAATTTCAAAGCTCATAATAACACAAGCATTTCTCCATGTAGTCCTTAGTGTCTACTAACTAAAGCTGGTTTTACATGTTTACTCATAGCAAACTTTGATTTATTGTAGTGGATTGGATGATGAGGTGAGTAAATTGTAAGTTTATAAATCACAATAATGGTACAACATTTTAAATTCAATTACTTATAGTTTGTTGTCCCAGTAAGGAAATTTGGCCTCTTCATTTCACCCATCCTGCACTTAGATCTTTGTCCGGATTACCAGAGCTGAAGGATTTTACCAATTGTACATGTTTTTAGTTTATGGTGAAATCCAGAGCACCTGGAGAAAACCTATGCAGACACAGAGAGAACATGCAAACTCCACCAAGAAAGGCCCTGTTCCGACTGGGATTTGAACCCAGGACCTTCTTGCTGAGAGGCGAGAGTTCAACAACTGATGTCTGTAACTGTAAGGTAACAGTCCATCAGCCCCTTACAAACAATGGAGCAAATTAAGAGAAAACAAGAGACACATAGACGAGAAGTCTACAAACGTAAAGTATCATTGGAGGTTTGAGTGTAACTTCTTTAATATGGGTTTCAAACTGATGAAAAACAGTTGCCATAGCAATTAACTCATTTAAACACAAATAAAATACTTTCCAATTGGTAAAAATTCCAAAATGCTTCTAACAGGAAAGGAAAACCCATGAAAGTCACAAGATTTATTGGCTTAATGTGAACAAGATTTACTCCCACTTTATGAAAAACAAAAGACGCCGCTATACTGCGGTGATAAAATGTTGTTTGTGATTTAGGTCAAACAAATGTACCATAATTGTTTTGGGAATATGAGCCCATGGGAGCCAATGAGGACCATGTGTGTAGAACCACACCATGCATTTTCAAAAACCCTTTTCTATTTATGTAAACTGATATAGAGATGGCATTTCTGACCATGTGTGACGTATCCAAATGCTGCTCTACAACACACTACAGAACTGAATATGTGGCTCTTCTTCTTGGCTTTTGTAGGAGTTACAATCAGTGGTTATTGCACACAGCACTTCCAAATGTTCCTCACAGTGTTTTTCTTTCCATTTCATCACAATAAACACATTCCTATATTTTGCCACTGATCCCAAACCTTAAAAACTATCATCCATGTTATTTCCATCACAAGCACTATCCTCTATGATGCCAGTGCAAACTCCAACTCCATCAACCGTCTCCATCCCAACTTGGATATATGCAATGCTATCGTCTAAAGGAAGAAGAAGGAGGAAAAAAAAAGCAGTCGTTTTTATTCAATCTTTTTTGTTCCCATCAAAAGGCCATTTTGTTCTCGGTGGTCTTAATGGTTACAAGATATTCAGCAAAGCACCGCTGATCCGCGCCTCTTTGTTCGGACTCCCGCCGAGAATACAATCTTACTTTTGGAGCAGCTCTACGGCAGCCATACAATTCCATCAGCATAAACGCTTCACAAACACTCACGCTCAAAGTATAGGGCTGGAAAAACACTACTTCAGACAACAGGAATCCTTTTCTGCGAAAGAACGACTAGGGATTGGACCAACTTCTATTTTCATACCCTCAAAATTTCATAAAATTGAGTTTTTGGTGGAAGAAATTGGTTTGAATGGATATCCTGCTTTATTTGCTGTGTATTAGCTTTGTTCAGGGACGAGAGTATACATTTAAATCTATCATGGGAGCGTCTAATAAAAATAGTAAATCCAAGGTAAAGTATGTTTCCGAAAATGCAGACAATATGGAGAGTAGCCACAGGAAACATCATGGAATATCACATTGGATCCTGTTTTAGATTTAAAGCCAGGGAGAAAGTGTTAGTGGTACACACAACAGTTTCTCCTATTTCATACCAGAATGTGCAAAATACTGCTGCTAATGTACAGATGTAAACATACTGCTGCTAATGTACAGATGTAAACATACTGCTGCTAATGTACAGATGTAAACATACTGCTGCTAATGTACAGATGTAAACATACTGCTGCTAATGTACAGATGTAAACATACTGCTGCTAATGTACAGATGTAAACATACTGCTGCTAATGTACAGATGTAAACATACTGCTGCTAATGTACAGATGTAAACATACTGCTGCTAATGTAAGATGTAAACATACTGCTGCTAATGTACAGATGTAAACATACTGCTGCTAATGTAAGATGTAAACATACTGCTGCTAATGTACAGATGTAAACATACTGCTGCTAATGTACAGATGTAAACATACTGCTGCTAATGTACAGATGTAAACATACTGCTGCTAATGTACAGATGTAAACATACTGCTGCTAATGTACAGATGTAAACATACTGCTGCTAATGTAAGATGTAAACATACTGCTGCTAATGTACAGATGTAAACATAATGCTGCTAATGTACAGATGCTAACATATAACCACACTTTACTTGCACTAGAATACACAGTGCTTTATACTTTATATATAATGTAAAATTTTTACATCTATTGTTATTTTCAAGATAGAGTTTTTATACCTATTATTGATGCTAGAGTTAGAGATTTTGTTTTATTTTAATTAGGACAGCTATTGTTCAGTTAACGTGTGCTGTGTGCTCCTCTTTCCTACTATTCTATAACTTGTGATGCAACACTGAAATTTTCTCCACTATGGGATAAAAAAAGTATCTCTTAATCTTAATATTGTGTAAGACTTACACATGAACAATACTATATCATACATTTTACTTGTGTACTGAATAAGTTATACTCTGTGTTCTTAAAACCAGCCTAGTCTGCAATTACTTTTTTTTTCAGCACAGAAGATTCAAGAATTTATTTTGTAATTTGCAGTAAAACCACATAGTTTATTTATGTAGCGCATATCACAGAGCAGCGTCACACAAAGGTCTTTACAATGTTGAGGTCCTTTCCATTCACTCTACACACGGTGAGGACAGAAGCGAGAGGCCAAACACTCTGGCTCATCATCATACTCATTACATCCAGAACTATTGTACATGTTTATAATGGTAGCGGAAACCGGAGCACCCAGAGGAAACCTACACGATTCACACACACAAGATTTTATACTTACAACTTGTGTGAAGATACCATGGATCTCTGGGTGGGAAAACTATAGATTAAGTACAGAAAAAAAATGACATTTTGGACCAAGGACAGTTTTTACCGCACTCACTCATATGTCCTCTCTCTATGTGAAAAAATAAAAATTTAAATATGTATATTTTTTCCATAGCATAATTTTGTTTACTAAATAAAAGTAGAAAAACATTTAATAGAAATCGTCATGGGGGTGATTCATGTTTCTCCTAGATTACCCAGCCATACTATAAACACATTTTATAGTATGGCTTTAAAAGTATGGCATAATTCTTTAAAAAATATAATTTACAGAAATTAAATAATCAGCTATCTTCCTACAACTTGTAGCTCCATGTAAAGCCGTCTCAGCCGCCTGTGGCCCGTCACACCTGCTCTGTGCATACGCTCTCCTCGCATCAGCCCTCACTCACCACGTTACACTGTGATTGTGTCCCCTCTCCCTCTGCCACAGTCAATGTCAGCTGTGTCTTTTTAATTTTCTAATCAGCACCGGGCAGAGGCGCTATCTCCGTCCCCCACTCGATACAGACATCCCACAACACAACCAAATCGCTTTTTTTGTCAAATGTTTTATTGAGTGCCGACATCTGGGCTACTGTAAAACAAGCATTATCTGGCGATGCGGGTTGGAGAAGCAGGTGCCTTTGTCCCCACTGTCACCGAGTGGCAACTGTGATGGAGATTAATGAAGTATCTGGAGAGTAATGTGCTGCTTCAGATGCTAGAGGGCCGATTGGGAATGGGGTAGGGTGGGGGGTGGTCCTGTCAGATGTTATATGATATGTAATGTACGAGAGCTGTTGCAGAAAGTCCTCACAGGGAGATACGAGTACAGTAGAGGAGAAAAAAGGTAGAGTTGGTCTGTCACTTCTTCTTCGGAGCATTGGGTGCGTTGAATTTGAAAAAGATGATGTCGCCGTCTTCTACGGTGTAGTTGCGGCCCTGTTGTCTGTACTTGCCGGCGGCCTGTGTGAAAAAAGAAGTGGTTAGAAGTTATAGGAAGTACAGGTGGAACTCGGGAATATCATTCAAAGGTTCATTTATTTTTGTTATTCAACTTATATGACATAGACCTATTACATGCAATTCAGCAATTGGCAAAGCTTTGTTCTTTATGATTTTGACATTCATTTTCAAAATATTCTAATTTTCTGAGATTTATTTATCTGGGGTTTATACAAGGTGTGAGCCAATCATCAACATCATAACAAACAAAGATATATAAATATGGATATATCGCTCTCTGCGTGTAATGGGTCTGTCATATATTCATTTCACATTGTAAGTTGATTTACAGAAGTCAAATTACTTTCCAATGATATTCTAATTCTATGATTTTCCCCAGTATGTGAGTCAGTAAACTTTATTTATAAAGCACATTTCACAGATCACGTTACACATTTGGTGATACACATTTGCAATCTCTGATACCTAAAATATCTAAACAATTCCTGCTTCAAAGCTGAGTTAATGTTTCTGAAAAAATCATGACCACTGCATAGAGAAATATAATCATCCCTCAAGTACAACTTCTCCATAAATAATTAATATGGATTTTTTTCCACCATGGCAGTCAAATTCATCAAGTACTCATAGAAAATGCTGAAATCTCCCACAAAAAAAAAAAATCACTGTAAAATGTTGAGTTGGTGGTACTTGAAAATATAGCCCTCTACAGACAGTAGGAAGGATTTCAAAGCTTTCACTGCAAACATTTATAAAATATGAGGTAGTAAATGCTTGAATCTAGTGGTTTTTAGATTCTGTCTTAAAAACAACATTTGCCAATGGGACAGGCCTAAGAACCGTTGCTTTATTTTTCTCATTCCAAGGGAGAAATTTCTTGTATCATTTTAAAACAAGATAATTTTGCTTTGTCCCATCGGAAAATCTTGTTTTAAGGCAGTCACAATGTACTCAAATTAAGATTCATTTGGTCAAATTCTTATACTAGTTCATTATCGAAAAGTCTTTCTCTGTGCAATAACTTGGAAAATCCTTTATTTTTATCAGAACTATAATAAAATCAGATAAGCTCTTAAACATACGTTATTTTGACAGTGTTGCAAAATAAGGACGTGGGGAATTATCATTGTAATTTCAAAGACACTGCATCTGTTTAACATAACTTGTGTGGAATGACCCGACTCTCCCTTACATGTTTTCAGCTTACAATCGCTTATCCGGTCTTTAACCAGCCGAGTGCAAATGTCATGCAGTATGTGGTCCTACAAACACTTCTGTCTATGTTTTATGAGGGAGGGGTGGGGGTCTGATCTCCCTCCTGAGCTCATAATCCCGTCCCCCTGCCCAGTTTGTGCTCAGTCTTATACAATTCTACCACGCCTTTGATTAAGCACACCATCCAACTTCTCCAGGAAACCCAAATAACTTCTCTGATTCCTTTTGTATATCTTGAGTATTTGTTCCCCTTGCCTTGTCAACTTGCTATAATTGACTTGAAGTGCTAACACGAACAGGTTTATACATTCTGGTTCGGCACACCGCACAATTAATTAGAAGAATCAATGTGGCTTTAAAACGCTCAGGAGACCATTTAATCCGGGCTCGATGCTCAGAAACAGTGGAGAGAGAAAGAAGGGGGTGAATCAATGGCTATTTGTGATCCGCTAGTATGTATTAAAGCAGACATGGCTAACTGGTTCATTTGCACTTGAAAGCAGCCATCTGGAGCAGCGAGCTTGGCTTAAGCAGATATGATTACTAATAATGTGATATCCCCATACGCTGGCCCCCTCATTCAGACAGGGCCTATATTCCCACAACTGGCGCTTAATAGCATAGGCCCTTAATGCTATAGGCTTCATGTTCTTGTAAGGGATTAAGCAAGAGAGCAGTAAGGAGGCGACACGGAGATGGCTTCGTCCAATTACAATAGACAGACTGCCCCAAGAGACCAGAGCGTTTCACCCACTGTTTGGAGCTTATGGGAGGAGTGGACAATACACAGCCACTGCATTAAATATCAAATACCCATTAGAAAGGTTTGAATAGTATAGAGTTTGAATAGTAAATAGATTGTCATGCTTTTTTCAATAGGCATACTGAGATCTGAATGTGTAGCTGAAACCATAGCAAGATAGTGTAGGACAAAATTGAATGAAATGTTACTAGTAGTACATTGTAGCTTATAACGGGTGTGTACTTTAAATAGGAAAATGCTGACTCCTAATATTAAAACACTGTCAAATGAAAGTGTGGAAAAAAACACTGTCACTTTTATTGCAGAGTGAGCTGAGGGTGGAGGTCACGCCCACGTTTTGTCACTACAAATTCACCATGAAATCAGTTAGCACACTCAGGGGGGGTACATGTCACGGACTGACCTGTGCGGAACACATTTACTTTATCGTTGCTTAGTTTTTGGATGATAATTGTGGGTTAGGTTCTTTTTATTAGTGCCTTTACTATATATTTATTGCACGAGAATATACAGTATTTTATAGTTACTTCTTTGTTATGGTAAAATCATAGGTTATATACACAAGTCTTGCTTGTATATTATGCCACATTTTGGACGTACTGCGTTTTTACCCTAAAGTAATCCATTTTATACTTATGCTTGCTTCTATATCATGCTAAAGTCAGAGGTTTTATTGTGTTTTCGTAGAGTTATTGTTAACTTATCTTTTGCTGTGTGCTCTTCATTCCTACTGTTCTGTAACTGGTGATGCAACACTGAAATTTCCCCACAGTGGGCATAATAAAGGATCTCTTAATCTTTATAAAAATAGAAATATAGTAATACAAATTAAAAACAGAAAAGTGAATTCATATTTTGCACTAATTATCACATTCATTTATATTCATTATCAACTGAGGCCATTCAAACTAAAGGAGTTCTGACTTGAGAAAATGTGTAAGTAAGTAAGTCAAGTTTATTTTTATTTGAAGCGTCTTTCACAGACCAGGATCACAAAGTGCTTCACAATGAAAAATATACAAAGAAAAATGAATATTATTAGACTTACTCCACTAAGTCTGCAGCCAGGGCTCAGATGTAGACACTAAACAGGCTAAAGTGCATGTGTAAACTCGGCAGACGCTCTACAACCAAAAGCGTTCAGTCAGAGAAAGACATACAAGCCCATTCATGTGCTCCTGATCCATGAAGCACTTTCATTTGGGCCATTTCACACTTTGTTTAACTCGCCTCTTTACATCACTGTCACACCAGCTCTGTATCCAGCGCTCTATAGAAGTGCTAAACGCCTGGAGAGGTGAACAAGTGCCAGTTAAGACACATCGTGATAAGATATGCGCAGCTGGAGCGCCCTGCCACTGTTTAGGCCCAGCTTGTCAGAAGTGGTGTGCGGTAATTCTTTCCCCTGAGTAAAGGTGATCCGTCTACAGCACTGATCACTGGAGACTACCGCCTCGTGTGCTCTCGGGCTCCCTGACGCCTCACCTTGACAGCGTTCTCACTGCCTTCCTCTTTAAAATCCTGGAATTTCATTACTTCGGCCATAATGAAGCCCTTCTCAAAGTCGGTGTGGATCTTCCCCGCAGCCTGTGGAGCCTTGGTTCCTTTCTGTCACAAAGAGAAGAGGAGAAGAGTGAGAGAGAGGGAGAGATAGGGAGAGAGACAGAGACAGAGAGAGAGGACAGTGAATTGTTTTGCTGGAAGATGGATTGCGTCGCGTGCCCAACATGCTGTTTGATAGGCCGATAGTGGACGGAGCAGTGCGCGGGGAGGTGGGTTTCGCTCGGGGGCTGCTGATTTGAGGATAGTTTTCCAGTTGGTTGTGTCCCATGCAAGGCCAGCCTGGACACCGATAAGAAGCCGGCTCTGTTATCAATGCGTGTGTGATTCCCATTCCGTGGAGGTATTGATTTCTGTCCAAGCAATCTGTGCTCATTGTGGGTCGCTGCCCTGCTCTGTGGTCAGAACAGCACGACCCAGAGAGCAGTGAGAGTCCAGGGCACCGGACCCCCACCGCACCTGGCCTATGGACGGCAGCGATAGAGGGCAAATACGAACAATCTATAGTAACACAACAGGCCACTCAGATCAAAGCCGTTGTATACAGGTAGTACAGTGTTTGCCAGTGCCATAACAAATACGATTTACGTATATATTGGATTTTCTTTTGATGTACTGTGATTATTTATGATTTTAACGCTTTATCAGATTTGGATATTTCTTATATTGTTTTGTTAAGCACTTTGACTTGCATTCTGTATGAACGGTGCTCTACAAGTAAACGTGCCTTGCCTGATATTCAATCATATTGGGAATATTGGGAACTTTCTTCCTAATAAGTCTTTTTGTGAAGAAAAGAAGAAAGACAAAAATTCTCTGCTCTTCCACTGAGATGAATGTTTGCTTTATATCTATAAAAACAATAATTTATAGTATTAGCAGCTGATGAATATATTTGATTAGTTAGTAGAGATTGTTTTTAAGGAACATGGTGATTATGGTGATCACATTGCAATTAAAAAACTACAATCATATTCACAATAAAAGTTAAAAACAACCATTGTCAATAAACCCCCATTGGGCTTCATTGGCTAATTGACAATATTAAATGACACCCACAGACCGACACAACGTCCGAGCCCCGACTGGAGTGGGGCCTGATAAAGAGTGTCATTTATATGCATCTGAAATAATAGCGGGCGTGAATGACAAACGATGCGGGTAAGTGACGTGTGTGTTGTGCATCATTCCTGTCTGCTCTCCCCTTGCGCCTGTGCTCAGAAACTGTTGAGCACTTTTAATTATGTATATAATCAGGTTGGGGTCAACATATTTCATGCCAAAAGAATGATGCGTATTTAATGACTCTAATACATTACCATCTCTTCGCAATCTCGTTGACTGAGCGCTCGCCAGTTTAACTACCATTAATCAGCATCAAGGTTTGTCTATGCTGAGAAAAATAGATTAAGGGGGGATTTTTTTTCCCCATAAGGTGCAGTACAAGAGAGCCACATTGTCCTAGTTAAGAGCTATGCAGAGGGGGCTGATAGATAATGGTCACCTCGAGGCTGCCTAATAAAGCATGTTAAAGGATTTGGGTACATGGCATTACTGAGTGGAGTTTTTACAATGCAAGATGTATTGGCTTAATATAGTTAGTCAGTGATGCTTACCTGACTAAAAGCCCCTCACATACAATCAAGGCCCGGTGTAATCACTTATGTGTAAAGAGGAGAGGCTTTGAAGTGTGGGGGACTTGCGGAGTAAACAGCCACGACATCAGTCAAAAACACGCTGATGTCACTGGACTAGAATGTAATGTGTCCCATAAAAACACATTATACACAAATGCGGTGAGATCACGTCCGGGCCGGGCCTGTAAACGGCGCCGGAAACATTAAACTGCCTCACAGGTAGAGTGTTGAAATCTAACGGGCTGAGGAGAGGAGAGGGCGGGGATTAAACAGAAGGCAATTTCGATATTCGTTGTATCCAGTCCCCTTTCTCAACTAATTTTCATGACACAGGCCAATCAACTGATGTGAATTTAAAGTTGCTGCTAAGTGTTAAGTTGGTGGAACAGTGCAGTGAATGGATCAGTCAGCATTTCTTTTTGACTTTTGTTGTTGTTAGAATTGCAGATTATATGTATTTTGTTTAGTGTTCTTTGTTGCCCAGTACGTGTGTGCGTGTGTGTGTGCGTTTGCATGATTTTTGTAATAAAAAAGTAACAAATAATTGATGAAATAAAAAAAGCCAGAACAAACAAGGTGAACAAACAATTACAGTTGGATCCCCTACTATTCGCAGTCGTTCGTTAGTGTTGGCTAAAAAAGTCCTTGAGGTAAGATGACTTGTGATTTTGGAAAGCATAAACATAAAATGATTAGATTAATACTGCAAGAATAAATAAAGGTAAGCATGCTGATTTGAAAGAAATTTGGGTTATTATGAAAAAGTGAAACACACAAGGATTGTTATTCCAATTTGGCCTTTACTATAAAGTTACATCATTTTAATTTGCTCAATGGTAAATCATTTTGCATAATCAGACATTTCTACACTTAAATCGTTTTCACATCATCTTCTCGCGAGCTGATAATAAAGTCATACACACGACCCTCCTGGCTTGCATGACTTCTGTTAGTGAAAGCAGAACCAGCCCGAGAATGTTTTGCACAATGCTCGCATGCAAATCCAACACCTGTATCGATGTAACCTCTGTGATGCGCGTTCGCTCAGAGCCGCTCGCGGATGGGCCGGGGGAGACGCGCCCCGGAGGAGGAGCCCCCGAGCGCCACAAACACTCCAATGAAAGAGCACATCAATTCTGCCACAGACACCCTCCGTCACACAGATTAGGCAGCCACAAAGCCCCGCACCTTATCTCCCGCGGCAGGAGGGGGCAGTCCGATTGGCGGCGGATGGAAACATTCTCACGCACGTAATGGGGAAAATCAATTGTTGCTGTTCCTCAATCAATGTGGCCCCCACTTTCACCGTTCAGCGGGTCACCGGTAAATTGAAGTTATCCTTGGCCTGTAATGACCGGCTAAAGCAGCACCATGACAAAGTTGAGAGAGTGTGATATGGGAGCGGAGCGGCGGTGGCGTGGAACCGTGGATGCTGCGAGCTGATTGGACGGTTTCCCTTACCCGCACGGTCCAGGCGCGCACCTCGTCTGGGCCAGCCGTGAAGAAATACTCCAGCTGCAGCGCGGCGTAGCCAGTTTTGATGATCTTGGTCAGAGCACTGGAGGAGACGACACGAAGGAAGAGGAAATATTAACAGTTCAGGCAGCATTTTTTTATGTTATGTTGTTTCTACCATTCAGTTACATTTTGTGTTGTGATTGGACCCATTATCACACATTAAGTTCAAACGTTAGTCCGTCCCCTGTGTCTGCTGTTTAAAAGCATTTAGAAAAATAAATGCGGAATATCTAAATAACATAAATATAAACATATTGGAACAGCTATTTTGGAAATTCTGTCTCAAGTCTCAAAAAACTTGCTTCTTTGTCAGTATAACACAATCTTCAATCACTTTATTCCGTTCTCCATAGCTCACAGGGGTAAAGGACAAAGAAAGTGAAATAATATGTACCGAGCCAAGGTTTTAAAAGAGTAATCCTATACCACAACCAATTCAAGAACTACCCAGCTACTGAAAAGTTTACTCCTAGATATAAGAAGCAACATAGGATGGTAAAAGGATGCATACACATGTTTAATTGTTATTTTCCCCTAATGTATTTATTTATATTGTCTATTTTGTACGCTGTGTTTATCGGCGTGCAGCACTTTGTTGAAATGTGCAAAATAAGGTTGTATTGGATTCTCCACGGGCATTTTCAAGACTAACAAAAATGGCACGATCCCAGACAAAACCTCAGCAGAACAAAAAGGTTACACTACAGCCGACTTTGTCCAAACTCACAACAAGCGAAGCAGAGGTACTTTCCAGCGCCATATTGCCCTTTTGAGCCTTTCATTCATTAACATCACTCACATTCATTCCTGTACAAACTCATTAATTGACTGAGATAGGTCACTTAATTTTCTAAGCCCACATTCAACTCTCCTTGGGTTTCTTTGATTAATCACAAAGCTGCGCTCTCATTTGCCGTGTTTCAGGATTCACGGCGGTGCCTCTCCTTCTCCTGCGCTGTCGCAATTTTTCTCTCCATAGACGTGTTCGGAACAGAACAATACAGCAGAATGCCCAAGTTATAATTATACCTACAGATGACAGATGACAGTTAAAAACTTAATTTAGAGGAAAACCCTTTTGACTCAGTTGTTCGGTAAGGAGAGGGATCCTTGGCGTTATGATGGTAATTACTCCCATTTATGCCATTTATTATTCTATCAGCACATGCAATTAAAGTAGCGCAGGCAGGACATGGCTGATAGTGCCCGGCTCTGGATTCTGCATAATAATTAACCTCTGCGTCTTGTGCTGTGAGCAGTAGGCCTTGCTCTCTTCCTCAGTCATGTCCTGCAGCTCACTCTCCATCCCACCGCTGAAGGGGATCACCAGGGCTCCGGGGTCGTGACGGTCCACCCACTCCTTGATTTTCACCAACCTGAGGAGTACAAAAGGATATATTTGTTTACAAGGGGTGAACAGTTTTTTTTCAACTGAACAATGTTGGGACCCACCATCAACAAATAACACCAAAACCCAAGAACTGAGATTAGATGAGTGAATAATGTAAAATACTGTATATTTTCACACTTTATTGTTTTTACACAAAAACTGAATTAATGAAGAAAGAAACAGAATCAAGAAATCTGTCAATTGGGCGAGTTTTACATTTTAATTCAGGTAAATTAAGTAAACTTTGGATCCAATTTTCAGCAGATTTCTTCTACATTTCTTCTATGTAGATGACTTTTTCTCAGTGTAGACATTTATTTTATGTGATGTTGGCCAGGAACGGCTCGTGACCAACTAAACACAACTCCCTTCTGGCCCCTGGTCACCAGTTGAGAACCTCTGATATAGAGAACCACCTTTTATCTTGTTGAGGTTACACACTTTACAGTGTCATTTTCATTCTGTCATAAATAATAGTGTTTGGTATTTAGATATATTTAGGGAATTTAAGCCCTCGTCTAGATTAATCATACAAATATCAAAGCAGGTTAAGTGCTCAATTAAATCAGAATGGATTCTAATAAATCCATTCTGATTTTGAGAAAACTGGTTGAATAACTATGTGGAATACTTTTGCAGGGGCAAATAAATACAAATACATTCAACAAAGCATTATTATATCATCATGTTATTATAATGTCATTATTTTATTATAATGTGTTGCAAGAGAAGAAGGACAAAGTGAAGATCAGATTTGACAGCTTGTAAAACCACAACATAACAAACTGAAGAATGTGTTATGTTCTTCAGGGTCAAAGTGTAAAAATATGCAAAGTCCCATTTGATTTGGTACCAAATTGAAGCCTCTTGATTGCATCTAAACTGTTCACACCGACATGATTAGCGAACCATTTATCAAAAATCATTCAATTCAAAGTGTGAGCAAAACTAAAAGTGGAAATAAAACATAGACGAAGCAAATGAGACACAATAATGAGTTGATCTTTATAAAAATCAAGTTTGATGCACGTGGAATACGATCTAAGTTGTTCTCTCATTGTTGCTGTCCCCCTCTTCACAAAACTCAAAATCCACTTTAGACTAAACCCAGGAAGCGTTATGAAACTCCCCTTAGTTTAAACACTTTTGTCATTTTCTTCTCGTTTGTCGTTCCCGTGCAGCAGGACGCCTGACATTGTGGACAAAGATATCCTTGCACCTAATGGTAACCCTCCACCAGAACAATATAAGGGAGTTAGGGCAATTATGAGATTAACTGGACCAGAATCCCAGGCCCGTGATTGGTCGGATCTCACATCACATAGATCTTTTCTCTCACATGGATCTCCTGGACTGGATTGATTTAGAGGACCCCATTATTATCTGTAATCCTAGTTTCCTGTTTAAACCCTTTCACAATCAAAGAGTAGGAGGGGAAAATGCCTCAATACTACAGCTATTGCCATAACAATGTTTTTTTTCAGCTACAACACTTTATCACAGATCCATCAAAGAACAACAGGTCAACAGTCCGGTTTATATTGCTCATACGATATATACAAAATGGCCGTGAGAATGAGTCGTGGTAAATTTCTAGTCGAAATGGTGTGATATGTCTAGAGACGGAATTTTCTTTCCAATTCAGGTGGTTTTCCTGAGAATGTAAGCGTTAGTATGCAGTAAATTATTAATATCGTTTTGTATAGTAAAATAACTTGATTAGCTCCTTGCAGCTTTATTTCAACATTGGCTTTCTATTTGCCGCTCGCTCATAAAGGGCAGATTTGTGTGAGCTGTGGTTGCCGCAGCTGCTCCAATGTGACCTTTAACTTTGTATCTGCATCGATGATCAGAGTTATTCTTGTTCAAGCAGTTTTTCTGGGCCCCAGAGCCATGTCTTGGTAGGTTTGCAGTTGTGCCATACTTTATCCAATACCGGATGATGGATTAAACAGTCATTTGTAAGATTTAAAACCAATGTGAAATCTTTAGTTTGAATAAAACAACAATGCTTTACACTTCATCCTGAGCCTCTCAGGTTTGGTGGATGTCATGGTCCTGTTTAGTGACCAATATTCGCTCATCTAAAACTCTACTTAAAAGACATTGGACCAATCATCAGTCATCAAGAAACTTCTCAGAGCAATTGGTTGCTCTGTGACCAAATGTGGAAAAGTTCATAGGGTATGATTTTTTTTCTCTTTTTAAAATCACTGTATATGACTCCAGCCTCTCTCACCCATTCAATACAACACAACACAAACCCACACACTCACTCAGACAGCAGGACACAGTCACAAACACTCCCTGACCCTACACCTCTCTCCCATCATCCTGCAACCGTAACAAAGTAATCTCACATAGTTGAATCTACTTTAATGGTATTAGTGTGTGTGTGCATTTGTGCCGGCCAATGTCTTTAGAAAGGTAAAAGCGTATCCATAAATAGTCTCTGGGCATGAAAGTTGAGGTGTCTGAGGTGTTTGGTTTTGACGCAGGGACGGGAGAGAACCGTGTGAAGCTGACAATACCTCACATTCACATCTCCTGAGCTCTGCTATGCTCACATCTATTAGCCCTGGGAACGTAACCTAAAATTTCCTTCTCAGTTCTTATTGTGTGTGCCGGCTGACGTTTGACTGCCACCGCAATAAAGAGCGGGGCTAATGTCTCTGTAATAACGAGAAAAAATAAAACACATTTAGTCTGATCCTAAAACGTGAAACACAGGAGACCGCGTGTGCTCTGAGCGGAGAAAAATCCAATCTGAGATAATAACAGCTGTAGTTTGTCACTTTGGGCGCACAGCTGTCTATTTGGTGGCACGTTATTTGCATTCCTCAGGTACGGCGTTGTTCTCTCCGGGCGGCTGAATAATGATCACAAATCACTCTCTCCAAAACAGTCAAGGGCTGTGATCCTGTGAATAGACCATTGTACCTGAGACTGTAATTGGTGAAGACTTGACAGAACCGCAGCCAAGGCAGCCCAGTAACAAAGAGACTCTTGGTGCAAGGCTGAGGGATGATTTTAATAATGTGAAGGCGAGATGGAGGACAAATGAGCGCGGGGGTCTAGGGGGTCTGGGCCCTGACTGACACGGGACTAGACTAACACCAGGAAACACCCCCATCGAGCCAACTCCCCAAACAAAGCACTGTCAATTAAGAAGCACAATCCTCCATCAAAGTGCGACCCAAAACCAGCTCTGACAACTTCCGCACAATTTGTTTCTTTGTCTGTTCCAATTATTTGAGCCAAAACTGAACATGCCAAAGGTAAATTGGGGAATGTTTATGCTAAATGTAGCAGCCGTTTGCATAGTTTCTTTATTTAAGAACAATGTGAGCATGTGTGTCAGATTCAAACCCTTTTATTAAATGGTAAAAATCAACAAAATTATGGCATTTGTGTCAGTTGGGGTTTTCGGGTCATCTTTGTATACCAATTTAAATATATCAAATCATACAATCATTTTACTGAGCAACTTCGGATTCCATCAACTGGGAATTATTTGTTTGACAGAGTGTAAAATGTGCATGTAAAAAAATAATACCAGTGCCATCTTTCAGTACAACATTCAGCATTTTCTGCTCATAGTTTCCTGCTCTGAACAAATGATGCCTGAAATTTTTATCCTTTTATAATGGAATTCCAATGGCCTTTGCTGCAAATCAAGTGGACATTTTTGCATATCAAGTGGGAAAAATTAAATGTTAACCACGTTTTAATGTGATTAAGGGTGACAGGGACATTATTTCTGCTAATCACTCACTGGCTTGAAGACTCAGGGTATATTTGCGCATTCTATACCCCTCTCCATTTAGAACACAGACCAAGCTTTTCTCCATTTGCTTTGAGTCTGATGTGAACAAGCAATGAATTATTGAGGAAGTGATTAGAGCTGGTAAATTTGAAAGTGACACTAAACAAACAGATCGTTTGTCAATCTGCTTATCCTCCATCTGAACCAGCATAAGGGCGTAATGTTAGCTTTAGGCACTCTGCATCTAATCTAAAGAACAATATATGTTGGAAAGACAAAACGGAAAACAATTGTCGCTTCCACAACAGGCTGCTGTTTGAATGGGGACGTCCTGCGGGGGGCCACCCTCTGGGGCTAGTCTATTTGTCTTTTTGTGTGGGAATCTTGACGGGGGATAATTCCTGTGTTTCCGCAGGCCTGGGGCTTCCCTGGGCTTTGCAGCAGCTTTGATCTGCTTAAAGGGCTCAGGAGAAGACAATGGAAGACACTCAAGTACAGGGCCTGCTACCTGAGAAAATGATTCAGGCCGCTCTGAAGCTCATTCATAACTGGTGGGCCTTATTAGGAGTGCTTAGGCCTGTTAAACTCGAAAGGCAGGGCCAACACCTCCACTTTAGAGCTCCTTTCAAATGCGTCTGAGCTCAGGAGTAATCCACTACCTGCATCCTTCACTGACACGCCCACAGGTGCGGCCAAACCATACATGGCATTATTACCTTCATTATGGACCCACACTAAGAACCTGCAGAATCACCAACACGCAGCTGCAGCTTGGATATCTGCAGATACGAACCATATGTATTCTAAATAATGTTTTATATGTGAACACATGAAAGGTAAACATACCTCCAATAAAATATTCCACTTTCCATTAACAGCTAATGTTGTTACAGTATTCACATCTTTTATAACATTTGGTGTTTTCATTGCACCTCATCAATCAGTGGGATGTGAAAAATAGTGCGTTATACGATAATGACGTTTTCTTTATACTTAGAAGTTTGTCCATTTCTTAACTACCATTAAATATTGTTAGTATTAGATAGCAATGATTCATCCCTGACAATATCTTAGAAAATTACTAACAACAATTCAATAGGGAATATAATGTTAACCTGCTTACTCTCCAATTGAAAGTCTATTTATATAACAAAACCATGATGTTTAGAATAAGGTATGTTCAACATTCTATAGACTGTACAATAAGTCACTTTACTGAC